CCAACAATCCCTAACCTCTGATATTCACGCCCTGTGTCGTCCCTACTAACAAGGAGGCTGACGTGTGTCACCAAAGGGATACTGCAGGAGTGACAGAGCGTGGCTTCCATGGTTAGCACTTGCTCTAAGGGAAGTCAGCTGCCATGTTGTGAGGATGCTCAAGCCACCCCATGGAGAGAGAGGTCTGTGGTGAAGAAATGAGGCCTCCTGCCAACAGCTGTGAGAGGAAGCTACCAGGGAGCTTAGTTCCCCAGCCTCAGCCGAGCCATTAAATGACTTCGGTCCTGGCTGAAATCTGACTACAGCTCCATGGGGCACCCCGAGCCGGAATAATCCAGTTAAGCCACGCTTGGATTCCCGTCCTTTGAAAACAATGAGAGATCAGAAATGTGTATTGTGTGAAGCTGGTAAGTTTTGGGATAATTTGTTACCCAGCAATATGTAACCAATACACAAGGATGTCATTAATCCCCACCATGATGCTGGGAGGCAGAGACTATATTACTGTAATGCTTACATTTTAGTTTTGGTTTTGGGGACAGCATCTCACTCTGTCACCCAGATTGGAGCACAGTGGCACAATCATAGCTCACCGCACCCTGGACCTCCCGAGCTCAAGCCATCCTCCCACCTCAGCCTCCCAAGTAGCTGGGACTACAGGTGTGCCACCACACCTAGCTAATTTTTTAATTTCTGTGTAGAGAGGGGTGTCTTGCCACGTCGCCCAGGCTGGTCTTGAGCTCCTGGCCTCAGCAGATCCTCCTGCCTCAGTCCCCGCAAAGTGCTGGGATTACAGGCATGAGACACTGCTTCTGCCTGATGCTTACAGTTTAAAGAACATCTTCAGGCTCAAAACTGTGACCTACCCAGGATCACACAGTGGAGAATTCAGGATTTCAAGGCTAGAGTAATTCCTGAAGTTCCTGTTCTTTTGGCCACCTAACCTGGGTTCCCTCTGTCCTCTCCCACTTCTTCAAAAAGCAATAATGTTGGCCGGGCGTGGTGGCTCACGCCTGTAATCCCAGCACTTTGGGTGGCCCAGGAGGGCGGATAACCTGAGGTCTGGAGACCAGCCTGGGCAACACTGTGAAAGCCCATCTCTATTAAAAAAATACAAAAACTTAGCCAGGCGTGGTGGCGTGCGCCTATTGTCCCAGCTACTCGGAGGCTGAGGCAGGAGAACTGCAAGAACCCAGGAGGCAGAGGTTGCAGTGAGCAGAGATCATGCCACTGCACTCCAGGCTGGGCAACAGAGCGAGACTTTGTCTCAAAAAAAAAGCAATAATGTTAAATATGAACCTCCGGAGAGTGGAGACAAGGAAACCAGTGAGCTTGCCCTACAGGAGACCATTAGCAGGGCCTGGAACAGACGCACACGCTTTCATTGTCTTCACCGTCAAGTCTGAGCCAGGTTGCCCGGCTAAGCACCTGACCCTCCAGGAAAGGCAAGAGAGCTCGAGTTTAGGATCATCCCCTTCTGTTGCTGGTGGTGGTGATGGTGTTGTTTTGAGATAGAGTCTCACTCTGTCACCCAGGCTGGAGTGCAAAGGCACAATCTCAGCTCACTGCAACCTCCACTTCCTGGGTTCAAGCAATTCTCCTGCCTCAGCCTCAGGAGCTGGGACTACCACGGCTAATTTTTTTTTTTTTTGTATTTTTGGTAGAGACAGGGTTTCTCCATCTGGTCAGGCTGGTTCCGAACTTCTGCCCTCAGGCGATCCTCCCACCTCTGCCTCCCAAAGTGCTGGAATTAAAGTGTGAGCCACAGATAGAACAGCTGATAGTGATAATAAAGTGCTGGACAAGATGTCAGCAGAGAATCATCACGATGCAAATAACATCCCACATCCATTGAAAACTGTCCGAGGGGTTGGCAACAGCCTGAGGCAGCTGATAACGAAACAGCCTCCTTGCAGGTGTGGCGGCCCCCACCCGTAATCCCAGCACTCTGGTAGGCAGAGGTGGGAGGGTTGCTTGAGCCCAGGAGTTGGAGGCTGCAGTGAGCCATGATGGAGCCTCCACCCTCCAGCCTGGGCGACTGAGCAAGACCCTGTCTCAAAACAAAACAAAACAGGTCGGGCACGGTGGTTCACACCTGTAATCCCAGCTCTTTGGGAGGCTGAGGCAGGCGGATCACCAGAGGTCAGGAGTTCAAGACCAGCCTGGCCAAATGGTGAAACCCCGTCTCTACTAAAAATACAAACAGTAGCCAGGCGTGGTGTTGTGCACCTGTTTTCCCAGCTACTGGGGAGGCTGAGGCACAAAGAAACGCAGGAATCAGTGAGGAAGAAGCTGCAGTGAGCCGAGATTGCATCACTGCACTCCAGCCTGGGCAACAGAGCAAGACTGTCCCCTCCAAAAAAAAAAAAAAATCAATCAAAGGAAGACCAGTCTCATGAAGAGGGAGGGAAGGAACATCCAGGAATTTGTCACTCGGCAGACACTCGACCCAGGCTTTGTATGCAAGATCTCACAACGAGAATATTTCCAGACACTGATTGTTTTTGTTTTGTTTTGTTTTTTTGTTTTTTGAGGCTGAGTTTTACTCTCATCGCCCAGGCTAGAGGGCAGTGGCACGATCTCGACTCACTGCAACCTTCACCTCCAGGGTTCAAGCCTGCCTCAGCCTCCCCAAGTGCTGGGATTACAGGCATGAGCCGCCTCAACCCGCCCAGACACAGATGTTTTATGATTTCAAAGGGTGGGACAATGGACTCAGTGTCCCTCCCTTGCAGATTAACCTGGGGGCCCCAGGCTGGTTCTCAGAGCTCTAGAGTTCAGCACCTCCTGGGTCCCAGGTTCCCCCCGAGCAGTTGTTCTCACAGGTGAGGTCTGAATGCTCACAGCCACCTCGTGGGGCAGACACGCAGATAACTCCATTCTACAGCAGGGGACACTGAGCCTGGCAGGGAGGGAAGTGCCCACAGCTCAGGCGGCTGATGACCTTAAGGACCTCCAGGGGGTCCCAGCTTCTCACAAGACCCCAGGGAATAATCACCCCATGGAAACTTCCTCCAAGGTAGCTCCTGGTAACATCCCCACTTTACAGAGGAGGAAACCGGCTCAGAGAAGCTCCTTCTCCATTTCAGTCCAGCACATCAGCGTCAGAGCCAAGGCTGAGCCCGCACCTGCCCCGGAGCCTGTGCCCTCCCGACCACCAGGCGACGTGGCCTCTTGGGATGCTCGCCACAGCCCCACGGAGCTCAGAGGCCCCTTTCTCAGAGGAGGAAACTGAGGCTGAGAGGTTTAGTCAATTCCTGAGGTCACACAGGTGATGAGTGGAAGAACCAGGGGTAGAATTCAAATCTCTCTGACCCCAGAGCCCCGCTCTTCACCCACCTCAAGTCTACATGGGGTTCCCAGAAGCAGAACAAGCTGGTCTGCCCTGCTCCCACTGCCTAGGGTCCCCAGGGCTCATCCGGCTGGATCATCGTGACACCTTGTCCCCACATTTTTTTTTTTTTTTTTTTTTGAGGCAGAGTCTCGCTCCGTCGCCCAGGCTGGAGTGCAAAGGCACAATCTCAGCTCACTGCAACCTCCGCCTCCCGGGTTCAAGCGATTCTCTTGCCTCAGACTCCCAAGTAGCCACCACCACACCTGGCTACATTTTGTATTTTTAGTAGAGACAGGGTTTCACCTTGTTGGCCAGGCTGGTCTTAAGCACCTGACCTCGTGATCCACCCACCTCGGCCTCCCAAAGCGCTGGGATTATAGGCGTGAGCCACTGCACCTGGCCAAAATCATCACTTTTCACGAATAGGCCACAGGAGGCTCAAAGGGGGAAAGTGTGAGCCACATATCGAACAGCTGATAGTGATAATAAAGTGCTGGACAAGATGTCAGCAGAGAATCATCACGATGCAAATAACATCCCACATCCATTGAAAACTGTCCGAGGGGTTGGCAACAGCCTGAGGCAGCTGATAACAAAACAGCCTCCTTGCAGGTGTGGCGGCCCCCACCCGTAATCCCAGCACTCTGGTAGGCAGAGGTGGGAGGGTTGCTTGAGCCCAGGAGTTGGAGGCTGTAGTGAGCCATGATGGAGCCTCCACCCTCCAGCCTGGGCGACTGAGCAAGACCCTGTCTCAAAACAAAACAAAACAAAACAAAACAAAACAAAACAGGCCAGGTGCAGTGGCTCACGCCTGTAATCCCAGCGCTTTGGGAGGCTGAGGCAGGCAGATCATTTGAGGTCAGGAGTTCAAGACCAGCCTGGCCAACATGGTGAAATGCTGTCTCTACTAAAAATACAAACAGTAGCCAGGCGTGGTGTTGTGCACCTGTTTTCCCAGCTACTGGGGAGGCTGAGGCACAAAGAAACGCAGGAATCAGGGAGGAGGAAGCTGCAGTGAGCCAAGATTGCACCACTGCACTCCAGCCTGGGCAACAGAGCAAGACTCTGTCCCCTCCAAAAAAAAAAAAATCAATCAAAGGAAGACCAGTCTCATGGACAGGGAGGGAAGGAACATCCAGGAATTTGCAGAAGAGGCAACCAAGGCCCAGAGAGCCCACATGAAGTGCCCAAGGCCACACAGTGAGAAAAGGACAGGGTTTAAACCCAGACTCATGTGGCTTCACGCCAGCCGGTGGCAAGACCCTCCCAGCTCAGCCACCTTCAGAACCCTCGCTTGTCAGCCCCTCCAGCCTCTCTCTGCAGCCTCTGTTGGCTCCTCTGTCCAGTGGGGACAAGGAGCTGGGTGGATGTACCGACTACCAGGCATGGGACTTGGTAGAAGCCAGGATTCATGGCACCATCAGAGCCTCAGCAAATCAACCCAGTGATCAATAACGTGGTCCCCGAAAGATCCCGAGACTCAAATGCAGTGGACAGCCCCCAAGTCCGACCTCACTGCGGCAGTCGCGCCCTTGCTTGGTCCTTTTGGGGAAAACCGCATTGCACCTCCTTTCTGTGGCAGTCTGTCTACCTGCTTCTGCCCTTCCGCCGTTCATTCATTCATTCCTTCATTCATTCATTCCCTCCATATTCACTCAGTACTTACTGTGTGTCTAGGACTGACCCAGGCACTGGGAAAACAGCTGAGAACAAGACAGACAAGGTCTCAGCTCTTCTGACAGGGACAGACAAGAAACAAGGCGTCAATCAGAGTTTTGCAGAAGATGGGCGGGGCGCGATAGCTCACTCTCATAACCCCAGCATTTAGGGAAGCTGAGGCAGGCAGATCGCTTGAGGCCAGGAGTTCCAGACCAGCCTGGCCAATGTGATGAAACCCCATCTCTACCCAAAAATCCAAAAAAATAGCTGGGCATGGTGGCGCACACCTGTAATTCCAGCTACTCAGGATGCTGAGGTAGGAGGATTGCTTGAACCCAGGAGGTGGAGGCTGCAGTGAGTGGAGATCATGGCACTGCACTCCAGCGTGGGCAACAGAGCTTCATCAAAAAAAAAAAAAAATTACTTTTGCAGAAGATGAGACAGGATGACTGTGCTGGAAGTTAGCAGGGTGCAGGCATGAGGAGCCTCCAGTCCTGAAGTAGAGTCTGGGCTGAGAGCCAGAGCCTCTGGGTGCATTGAGGTCCCAGGTGATGGATTCACCAGCACAGTGATCCCCAGTCATCACATTCCCGCTCGCTCAGGCAGGCTCAAGTCCACCCGGAGTCCTTCCCGCTGCAGCCATAGACCTGAGCTCTCTTCCTGTATGTCTGTCGGTCCCACGCCTGTCATTCATTCATCCATCTATGCAACACATATTTAGGCAAATCCCAACCACACACTGGGCACTGGGGAGAAAGGAATGTTCAGTGAGGGAGACAGGACACTGGTGGATAATCACACACACGAACATTTCAGGCAGTGCTAAGAGTTTTGGTGTTTTTTTTAAAAGACAGGGTTTCACCATATTGGTCAGGCTGGTCTCGAACTCCTGACCTCAGGTGATCCGCCCACCTCAGCCTCCCAAAGTGCTGGGATTACAGGCGTGAGCCACCGCGCCTGACTAGTGCTGAGTTTTAGAGACAATCCAACAGAGTGATGTGCTGAGGAGTTGCCTTAGAACCACCGTGAGAAGCCCCCAACCCTGGAGGCCGTCAGGGCTTGAGGGGATCCCCTCGCCCACAAGCCACCCTGAATCCTCCAACGCCGGTCCCTGCTGTCTGACCTCACTTGCTCCTTCTGCAATCACAGCCCAGCCCCGATTCCCCAAACGCCGGGACAGGACCCGTTTTGTGTGTGACTATTCAGCAAACATCAACCAGCAGAGCACAGCAAACACAGCCTTGGATAGAAGAAACCCAACTTCTCCCCTCTTTTTCTTTCTCCCCCACTCCCTCTCCCTTCCTTGGTCCCCTCTGCCTCTCCTGCAGACACTCACCTTCAGAAAGGAGGGACGGGGCTCTCCTGGTGGCCCAGGACATAGAGCGGGCAGACTGCAGAGGCTGGAGGAAACACGTCCCCTCACATGGGGAGATTTTAAGCCCGGGCTGGGAGTGATGTCATTTGTCATGGCCTGGATCTCGGAGGGTAATCCCGGCCAAGGTGGGGGACTCCACTGGGCACCAGGAGGTGACATTGGCTGGGAGGGGGAGGGGCACCCGTCTGCTTAATCCCCTCCTCTTCCCCCCATGACATCTTGGCAATTAGGGCTGATGGGGAAGGGAGGCCCCATAAGCCTCTACTCCTCAGGGAAGTCCTTCCTTAGGTCTAACTGGTGTCTCTCCAGCTTCAGCTAGTAGCCCGAGAGGGAGGCATCAAAGAGGAAGGGCAGAACTGTCAGATGGTGCTGAGAGATCATCTGAAAAAAAGAGAGGCCCAGGGCTTTCGGGATGCCTCTCCCAGGTCCCCGCTTTCTCTCCACAGCAGTCTGTCTGACAGCTAGTTTATCTCTGTACTGCCTCATTGTTCTCGGTTTCTGCCTCAGTTTCCCCTTTTGGTCAACTCTTGTCTGTGGCCTGACTCTATGTTGTCAGACATGACAGTGTCCTCTTGTTGGGGGCCGGGAGTGGTGGGGGTTGCTCCCAGCACTAAAAATAGGCAGACTTATTAGAAAGGATGTCTTGTTTTTCTGTTTTTGGTGACGTTTTGGGGTATCAGGGGTTTTTTTCTTTTTTTTTTTTTTGAGACAGGGTCTCACTCTGTCACCCAGGCTGGAGTGCAGTGGCATGATCATGGCTCACAGCAGCTTTGACCTCCTGTGCTCAAGGGATCCTCCCTCCTCAGCCTCCTGTAGCTGAGACTTTACAGGCACACACCACAACACCCAGCTAATTTTTATTATTATTATTATTATTTTCGTAGAAATGGAGTCTCTCTGTGTTGCCCAGGCTGGCCTCAAACTCCTGGCCTCAAGCAATCCCCCCACACCTCGGCCTCCGAAAGTACTGGGATTGCAGGCATGAGCCACCCAACCCAGCACTCTCCATCTCTCTGCACACCATTGGTCTTTGTCTGGCATCTCTGTTTCTCGATTTCTTTTTCTCTGGGCCTCAGGCTGTGGCATTTCTGCCTACTTGCAGAAATACCTGTCTTCTATTCTCCATCTGCTTCTCTCTGTCCCTGTCCTTATTGAGAAACCTGCATTACTTCCTCACTCTCTCTTATTCTCTCTGTTTCTCTGTCTCTCCATCTGTCTTGCTCTCTCTCCCCTCTCCCTCAGCCGCTGTGTCTTTGTTCCTGTTTGTCTGTCCCTCTCTTTGCTGTCTTTCCGCCTGTCCCACTGTCCCTGTAGCTCCAGCCTCGTCTCTGTTCCTCTGTCTTCACTTACCCACCACGCCTCTCTGCAGCTCCAACCTCTGTTCCTCCTTCTCTCTTTCCCTGTCACTCTCTCTCTCTGATTCTTCCTTCCCCTCCCTCTGGATTGCCTGTTATTTTTGTTTGTTTGTTTTGGTTTGGTTTTGCTTTTATTTTGAGACCGAGTCTTGCTCTGTCACCCAAGCTGGAGTGCAGTGGCACCATCTCCGCTCACTGCAAACTCCGCCTCCCAGGTTCAAGCAATTCTCCTGCCTCAGCCTCCAGAGTGGCCAGGATTTATTTCATTTCTGTCCTTCTCCCTTTCCTGGTACCTCTGTTTCTGTATTTCCAGTTTTCCTTGTCTCCGTCCCTCTCTGTGTCTCTCTCCTCTCATCTGTCTCTCTGGGTATTAATATCTCCCTGAGCTCCTGGGCCCCACACGGGTCTGTTTCACTTCCCCATGCACCCAAACACGCACACAAGCACACACGAGCACACACACACACACATACCCCCAGTAATCCCTCCTGGTGCCTGGGTCATTGTGTCTCAGCCATAAGGAGCCCTTTCTTTCTCCTCCCTCCCCTAAACCTCCTGCTAGGAGAGATTAAGGCTGAGGAATCAGGACAGGTCTCATTAGCTTGAAGAGCCAGGGGTGACAGCAAGAGAGGGAGGGGCTGTCTGACCCTCAGTGAACAGTCCAGAGGCTCCTGATGGGAGACTCCAGTCCTGGAACAGACCCTCTGGCCCTGGAGCAGGGAAGGAAGGTCAGCTATGCAGGGAGAGGGAGGAGAAAATCACTTCTTGCGGGATATAGAAGGCGTCAGCAACTCTTAAATCACCTGCCCTGGGGAAATGGGTATTGCTTAGCTCTTGGGTCCAGAGTCCTTGCAGGGGTGGGGGTACAGAGAGGTGGGTTTCAGCTCATCCTGCACATGGCCCTGGGATCAATTAAGCTGAAACCAAATCCAAGCGCTTCCTCTTTGAGCCAGGTCTTCTAAGGCAAGTTGCTTTCTTTCTCATCTCCACCCAGTGGCTCAAGCAGAATCTGGGCACTCAGCCTTGCCCCCAACCCCTTTCTCCTCACCAGCCACATCCAATCTATCCATAAGTCCTGCCATCTCTTCTTTCAGATAATTGTCCTACTGAAAAAATATAACACATGGCTGGAAGAAATTAAAGGAGTCTCAAGTCAATAGTGAATTATACCATGTTCATGGATTGAACATGGACTGGACTCAATATTGTTAAGAGGTCAATCCTTCTCTTTTTTTTTTTTTTTTTTTTTTAAGACGAGGTTTCACCATGTTGGTCAGGCTGGTCTTGAACTCCCAACCTCAGGTGATCTGCCCTCCTTGGCCTCCAAAGTGCTTGGATTACAGGCATGAGCCACCACACCCGGCCAGGTCAATCCTTCTCAAAGAATCCTTAGATTTACTGCAGTCCCAGTCAGAATCTCCTCAGGATTTTTCTGTAGAAATTGACTGTCAAGGCCGGCTCATGCCTGTAATCCCAGCACTTTGGGAGGCTGAGGCAGGTGGATCATTAGGTCGAGAGATTGAGACCGTCCTGGTCAACATGGTGAAACCCCATCTCTACTAAAAATACAAAAAATTAGCTGGGCATGGTGGCACGTGCCTGTAATCCCAGCTACTCAGGAGGCTGAGGCAGGAGAATTGCCTGAACCCAGGAGGCGGAGGTTGCAGTGAGCCGAGATCGCACCATTGCACTCCAGCCTGGGTAACAAGTGAAACTCTGTCTCAAAAAAAAAAAAAAAAATTGACTGTCAAACTGATTCTGAAGTTGCTATGGAAATATAAATGATCTAAAATAATCAAAGCAATCTTTGGGGAATAAAACAAGTTGGAGAACTTATGCTACCTGACTTTGAGTCTTACTGTAATGCACATGATTGCCACTGGAAAAAGTGGTGTTAAATGCTGGAGACAGTCTGAAGATGTGTGGAATACTGGAGGATCCCTGGATCAGGTTGTTGATCAGTTTCACTCCAGGCGGTACTGCAGAATGGGGGGATGCCTGCGCCCCCTTAGCTCCCTAACACATTCTTCCTGTTTAACCTTTGGCAAAACTCTTATTGGCACCTTGTTTCTTGTCTGCCCTTGTCAGGAGGATGGAACCCTGGCTGTCTTGTTCTCAGCTATAGCCCCAGTACCTGGGACTGTCCCAGACACACAGCAGTAAGTGCTCAGTGTGAAAGAAATGGATGAATGGACGGACAGATGCACAGATGGACGACAGATGGATGGATGGATGGATGGATGGATGGATGGATGGATGGATGGATAGATGGATGGATGGACAGATGGACGACGGATGGATGGATGGATGGACAGATGGACGACAGATGGATGGATGGATGGACAGATGGACGACGGATGGACGGATGGATGGACGGACGGTTAGATGGATGGATGGATGGATGGATGGATGGATGGATGGATGGATGGATGGATGGTGGGGCAGAACCAGGTCGAGAGGCTGGCACAGAGAAGAGGTCTGATATTTTCCCAAAAGGACCAAGGGCTTGGGATTGCAGCACGGTGAGGTCAGACTGTGGGGCTGCCCACTGGTATTGGAATCTCTGGATGCTCCCAGGATCTTACTGTCGCTGAGTTAATTCATTCAGGTTCTAACAGTGCCGGGAAACCCGGCTTCTACCAAGTCCCATGCCTGGTAGTGGGTGCATCCACCCAACTCCTTGTCCTCACTGGACAGAGGAGCCAACAGAGGCTGCAGAGAGAGGCTGGAGGGGCTGACAAAGGAGGGCCCTGAGCATGGCTGGGCCGAGAGGGTCTTGGCAAGAACCGGCATGAAGCCACATGAGTCTGGGTTGAAACTCTGTTCTTTTCTCGCTGCGTGGCCTTGAGCCCTTCATGTGGGCTCTCTGGGCCTCAGTTGCCTCCTCTCAAAGTGGAGACAGTTACAAGCTATCACAATGAGCCATGGGAATCCCATATGTCAGGCCTAGCATGCGGTGGCCTGGCGTGGGAGTGGGAGCAGGGGAGGGAGCTTACCTCATCCAGCTTCTAGGAACCCCAGGTAAACTTGGGGGTGAAGAGCGGGGCTCTGGGGTCAGAGAGATTTGAATTCTACCCCTGGTTCTTCCACTCATCACCTGTGTGACCTCAGGAATTGACTAAACCTCTCAGCCTCAGTTTCCTCCTCTGAGAAAGGGGCCTCTGAGCTCCGTGGGGCTGTGGCGAGCATCCCAAGAGGCCACGTCGCCTGGTGGTCGGGAGGGCACAGGCTCCGGGGCAGGTGCGGGCTCAGCCTTGGCTCTGACGCTGATGTGCTGGACTGAAATGGAGAAGGAGCTTCTCTGAGCCGGTTTCCTCCTCTGTAAAGTGGGGATGTTACCAGGAGCTACCTCGGAGGAAGTTTCCACGGGGTTGTTGTTCCCTGAGGTCTTGTGAGAAGCTGGGACCCCCTGGAGGTCCTTAAGGTCATCAGCCGCCTGAGCTGTGGGCACTTCCCTCCCTGCCAGGCTCAGTGTCCCCCGCCGTAGAATGGAGTTATCTGCGTGTCTGCCCCACGAGGTGGCTGTGAGCATTCAGACCTCACCTGTGAGAACAACTGCTCGGGGGGAACCTGGGACCCAGTGGGTGCTGAACTCTTGAGCTCTGAGAACCAGCCTGGGGCCCCCAGGTTAATCCCCAGGGGAGGGAAAAAAAGGAAAGAAAGAAACAAATTTTAAGACATGCAAAACAGATCTCACAACTATAACACTGCGAAATAGAAGCCACACATAACAGTGTGCAGGAGAGAGAGAGAATACAGTATGATCTGTCCTCCAGCCTGCACTCCACAGAGTTTTTGAGACAGGGTCTCACTTTCTCTCTCTGCCGCCCAAGCCACTGCACTCCACCCTGGGCGACAGAGCAAGACCCTGTCTCAGAAAAATACATATATAAATAAATATATAAGCAATATTTGGACCAGCCATGTTTGCTTCTCAAAACCGTGCCCTCGACTACCCCGCTACACACGACACACGACCCAGAGTCTAAATAAGACTTGCCCCAAGTCCCCTAGAAACACCCAGGGTCCTCTCCAGCTCTTAGAATTTAAAGTAACTGAGGGCCCAAAGAGCTTTTATTGATATTGGCTATGTATCTATTGCTACTTATTGTATTGGAAATTATTTCATTTACATTTTTTTTGAGACAGGATCTTGCTCTGTTGCCCAGGCTGGAGTGCAGTGACGTGAGGACGTCAGCTCACTGCAGCCTCAACCTCCTGGGCTCAAATCAGTCTCCTGAGTAGCTGGGACTACAGGTGCATACAACCATACCTGCCTTATTTATTTATTTTGTAGAGACAGGGGTCTCACTATGTTGCCCAGAACCTTCTGATCTCAAGTGATCCTCCCACCTGGGCCTCCCAAAGTGCTGGAATTACAGGCATGAGCCACTGAGCCTGGCATGAATTAGAAATCAAAAGTGTGGAATTTAAAAAATCCTTTTGAAGACTTTAAATTTTACTTAAAATGTATTTTGAGCCAGGCACAGTGACTCACACCTATAATCCCAGCACTATGGGAGCCCAAGATGGTATATCATTTGTGGTGAGGAGTTCAAGACCAGCCTGGACATGGTGAAACCCCTGTCTCTACTAAAAATACAAAATCAGCCAGGCATGGTGGCACACACATGTAATCCCAGCTACTTGGGAGGCTGAGGCAGGAGAATCACTTGAATCCAGGAAGCAGAGGTTGCAGTGAGCCTACTGCACTCCAGCCTGGGCAACAAGAGCAAAAGTCCATCTCAAAAAAAAAATGTATTTTAATTGTGTCAAATTCTTTTTCATGTTTTACTTGGACAGCTCCAAAATGCAAGATGCTTCACATCATAGGTAGACCCCTGGCTCTGCAAAGATTCCTTGCAGCTCAGACCCTTCCAAGACATTCCCAGCTCAGGAAACCTCAGGTCATCTCCGAGGGCCTTATCAGACCCCTCCAGACCCCCATGCTTGCAGCTCCCTTCCCAGTGGCCAGACCCCCATTATCACTAAAGGAACAGAGAGGGGAGAGAGTAGGAAGTGAGGGTAGAGGTTCACAATAAACTTTATTAGCATTTTTTTAAGACAGGGTCTCACTATGTTGCCCAGGCTGGTCTCGAACTCCTGGGCTCAAAGGATCCTCCTGCCTCAGCCTCGCAAAGTATTGGGATTACAGGCATGAGACAGAGCACATAATGAACTTTAAAAATCAACAATGTTTGCCGGGCACAGTGGCTCACACCTATAATCCCAACACTTTGGGAAGCTGAGGTGGGCGGATCACTTGAGGTCAGGAGTTCAAGACCAGCCTGGCCAATATGGCGAAACACCATCTCTACTAAAATACAAAAATTAGCTCTTCGTGGTGGTGGGAGCCTGTAATCCCGGCTACTTGGGAGGCTGAGGCAGGAGGATCCTTTGAACCCGGAAGGCAGAGGTTGCAGTGAGCTGAGATCACATTACTGCACTCCAGCCTGGGCAACACAGCAAGACTCTATCTCAAAAGAAAAAAAAAATCAAACCCTTCTAACCCCTTAAATGCCGTTCCCTAAAGAACCAGGGAGTGGGCCTGCTTCCCCCTCCCCCCACTGCCCCCGCCCTTCTCTGCCCGCTCTGTCTTCTGGTCTCCTGAGTCTCTGCCGCCCCCTGGAGGCCGTGCTGCCCCTGGGTCTCCCCAGCGCCGCCTCTCTGATCCTGTCCTGGTCCGATTTAGCAAATGTCCCAATCCTCTTAGACCAGGCCAGCCTCAGCAGAGCAGAAAGAATTAGATCCGATTTCGGGGGACGGAGTGGGGGACAGACTTCCAGGATATAATGAAAACTCCTTCTGCTTGTCAGACCCTGGAAGGGGGTAGGCACACAGCAACTCACACACTGGGACAACACAAGAAGCAACAAGGAGGGGAAACTGAGGAACAGAGAAAGGGGGAGATAGAGAGGCAGGGTGGGGGGATGTCGAGGGTGGAGAGGGCACCTGGAGGCTGAGCGGTCTTGCTCCCCGCGCCTGGGAAGTGTTCTTCCAACTCAGCTCTTACCGCCACAGTCACCGGAGCGCCTAGTGCCTCTGCCTGTAATTCTGGAACATTCCTCTCTACAAGGACCCGATTTTCTCAACCAGCGTTATTTATTCATTCTTGGCATGTGGTTTTTTGGGTTTTCTATGTGTGTGTTTTGGGGGGTGGAGTTTTTTTTGGGGGGGGTTGCTTGTTTGTTTTTTGAGACAGGGTCTCACCCTGTTGCCCAGGCTGGAGTGTGGTGGGGAAATCACAGCTCATTGCAACCTCAGCCTCCCAAGCTCCAGCGAGTCTCCCACCTCAGCCTCCCAAATAGCTGGGAATACAGGCGCACATCACTATGCTGGCTAATTTTGGGGGGCTTTTATTGTTTTTTGTTGGATTTTTGTTTTGTTTTTTTGAGACAGTGTCTCACTCTGTCACCCAGGCTGGAATGAAGTGGCACAATCTTGGCTCACTGCAACCTCTGCCTCCCAGGTTCAAGCAATTCTCCCGGAGTGGCTGGGATTACAGGCGCCCACCACCACACCCAGCTAATTTTTGTATTTCTAGTAGAGACAGAGTTTCACCATGTTGGCCAGGCTGGTCTTGAACTCCTGACTCAGGTGATCCACCCGCCTCAGACTCCCAACGTGCTGGGATTACAGGTGTGAGTCACTGCACCTGGCCAAGAATGGATTCCATGATCCCTTCTTCACACTTTTCTACCAACTTCATCGCCACCTACATCGCTTTTGCCCCAGGCCCCAGAAGACCTCCCTCCACCCAGGTGACTCTGGGAATTTGGCCATTGCCTGGGGAGCCCCAGGAGGAATCTCCAAAATTCCATCCAACCCTGAATGGACAAGAGAAGGCACAGGAGGGGCAGGGTGTTGTCGTGCCCTAGGGTGGCATTCAAGGCCAGAAATGCTCCTTCTTTCCCAGCTTGTACATTAAAAAATAATTATAAGCAGTAGAAAATAGAGAAAATAGGCCGGGTGTGATGACTCATGCCTGTAATCCAGTACTTTGGGAGGCCGAGGTGGGCGGATCCCCTGAGGTCAGGACTTTAAGACCAGCCTGACCAACATGGAGAAACCCCGTCTCTACTAAAAATACAAAATTAGCCAGGCATGGTGGCGCATGCCTGTAACACAGCCACTCAGGAGGCTGAGGCAGGAGAATCGCTTGAACCCGGGAGGCAGAGGTTGCGATGAGCCGAGATTGCACCATTGCACTCCAGCCTGGGCAACAAGAATGAAACTTGGTCTCAAAAGAAAAATACAGAAATTAGCCAGGCGCGGTGGCATGTGCCTGTTTTCCCAGCTACCTGGGAGGCTGAGGTCGGAGGATGACTTGAGCCAAAGAGGCGGACGTTGAAGTGAGCCGAGATCACACCACTGCACTCCAGCCTGGGTGAAAGAGCGAGACCCTGTCTCCAAAAAACAAAAGAAAAAAAAGAAAAATGTACATATAATATATACATTACATACGTATATATGAATTTCGTATGTGCTTATTAAATGTATACATTCTGTGCCTGAGACAGCATTCCATACAGAAAACACAAACTCAATCATTCGTACATCATTAGTCAGCAACTTTGAGCCTTTCCTGTTAGACACGAGGATTCCAGAGAAAAGTAAAAAGCCTGGCCGGACGCGGTGGCTCAAGCCTGTAATCCCAGCACTCTGGGAGGCTGAGGCGGGTGGATCACGAGGTCAAGAGATCGAGACCATCCTGGTCAACATGGTGAAACCCCGTCTCTACTAAAAAAAATACAAAAAATTAGCTGGGCATGGTGGCGTGGGCCTGTAATCCCAGCTACTCAGGAGGCTGAGGCAGGAGAATTGCCTGAACCCAGGAGGCGGAGGTTGCAGTGAGCCGAGATCGCGCCATTGCACTCCAGCCTGGGTAACAAGAGCGAAACTCCGTCTCAAAAAACAAAAAAAGCCTAACAACGTCTCTGTGTTGAAGACACATTTATCTCAGGAAGCAGCAAGCAGACATCCACCAGGCAAACCAGACAAAAAATAAATTTAAAATCATTATTTGTTACTAGCAGGTTACCACTTCATTCCTTTCTTAAACTTTTAGTTTTACACTTTTCTTAGCATTGCCACAATTATTTAATCATCTTCTAATTTGTGGGTGTGAATTAACCCAATTAACTCAGTTGATATTTCAAAGAAATGCTACACTGAGCCCTCATATCTGTGCTTATTCACAGAGGAGCAAGTCTTTTCCCAGGATGTCTTTTTTTTTTTTTTTTTTTTTTTTTTTGAGAGGAGTTTCGCTCTTGTTGCCCAGCTGGAGTGCAATGGCTCAATCTTGGCTCACTGCAATCTCCACCTCCTGGGTTCAAGTGATTCTCCCACCTCAGCCGTCAGAGTAGCTAGGATTGCAGGCACCAGCCACGACACCCATCTAATTTTTGTATTTTTTTTTTTTTTTTTTTTTTTTTGAGACGGAGTTTTGCTCTTGTTACCCAGGCTGGAGTGCAATAGCCACTGCGCCCGGTCCTAATTTTTGTATTTTTAGTAGAGACAGTGTTTCACCATGTTGGTCAGGCTGGTCTCCAACTGCTGACCTCAGGTGATCCACCACCTCGGCCTCCCAAAGTGCTGGGATTACAGGCGTGAGCCACCCCGCCAGGCCATGCGGCATTCTGTTTATCCACACCTTGGTGGATCCAGGTTTTGGTGTTTCTTCCTTTTGGGCGATCGTGAATCATGCTGCCCTGAACTTGCTTATATTTAAATGTCTATCTTCACAAAATAGTACCAGTAAGCTTGTTCATCTGTTTCTGCCTTTCTTGGCCAAAGAATAGACACGGTGCAAAATCTCCGTGGTCACCCCTGAATTCCCAGCACATCCTGTGGGCGCAGCGGAACAGCTGACCGACGGGGAGTCGTTGCTGGGGATGCGGCTTTTTTTTTTTTTTTTGAGACGGAGTTTCGCTCTTGTTACCCAGGCTGGTGTGCAATGGCGCGATCTCGGCTCACCGCAACCTCCACCTCCTGGGTTCAGGTAATTCTGCCTCAGCCTCCTGAGTAGCTGGGATTACAGGCACGCGCCACCGTGCTCAGCTAATTTTTTTGTACTTTTAGTAGAGACGGGGGTTTCACCATGTTGACCAGGATGACGTCAATCCCTTGACCTCGTGATCCACCCGCCTCGGCCTCCTTAAGTGCTGGGATTACAGGCTTGAGCCACCGCGCCCGGCCTGGGGATGAGGCTTTCTACAACAGACTCTGAGCAGCAGGTGAAGACAATCAGCAAGGCTGTGGGAACAATGTCAACGTTTGATTGAGTTTCGAAATTGAATGCACCAGCCATTTCTAGTTCCCCGCACCGTGAGCCTTGTCAATCTCTCTGGGCCCTGAACCCACGTGGGTCCCGCCATGGAGAGACGAGGGCAGCCAGGTGTCTGACAGAGAAGATGCATCTCTGAGGGACCCGACTTGTGTGGACCAAGGTCGTGGGTCCCCTGTGTCATCAACAGTGGGTTCATTCACTCACAAGGGCAGATCAACAGCGGCCCACGGGAACGTCCATCAGACCTGGGCCCCCTCCTGATACAGGTCTGTGCAGCTCAGAGAGGCTGGCATCATGTGAACCCAGCTCATGAGCCCCTTCCATAAACTGGAATAAACCAGCACCGAGGTCATTTACTCAGCGGGAGAAACCAGCAGAGGTCTGTGTGAATGCCCATCAGACCTTCGCCCCATGGGCAAATCCACTGCAGAAACCAGCCCGTATCAGCAGGGCCAGTGTGTACTGAGCTCTCCAGACGCCCAGGCACCTGGGGGCAATTTTTTGAAGGGATAGTTGGGGCCAGAGTGGCCTCGAGGGACCAAAGAGCAGGCTGTGGAGTCATCCAGGAGGGAGGGATGGTGGCGGGGCGGGACGAGGCGGGCAGCCTGGGAGCCGGGAGAGTGGGTAGACTCGCTGGCATTGGTCCTTGGGGCCCCGGCCCTGGGAAGGAACGAGGATGACTCCTGGGGGCTGGCTGGATGGTGGTGCCTCTCCTGAGCTGAGGACCCCAACCATGGGTCATGATGCCGATTCCGCTGACCCCGTGTGGAACGCCCTCTTGCCTGGGCTAGGGCCCGTGAGGATGAAACCAAGGTGGTGTTGGCCCTGAGGTTCCCCAGCTCCCAGCACAGCTCGGCAGCCAGTACCTGATCAGTGATGAAAACTTAATCCAGCCAAGTGTGGTGGCTCACGCCTGTAATCCCAGCATTTTGGGAGGCCAAGGCGGGTGAATCACAAGGTTAGGAGTTCAAGACCAGCCTGGCCAACCTGGTGAAACCCCCATCTCTACTAAAAATACAAAAAAATTATCCGGGCATGGTGGCGGGCACCTGTAATCCCAGCTACCTGGAAGGCTGAGGCAGGAGGCTTGGACCAGGAGATGGAGGTTGCGGTGAGCTGAGAGTGCACACCATTGCACTCCAGCCTGGACAACAGAGCAAGACTCCATCTCAAAAAAAAAAAGAAAAAGAAAGAAAACTTAATCTGTCATTCAACTCCTCCAGGAGGAGGGACTGGCAGGGCAGGGTGGGAAGGGAGGGTCCCAGCAGGGCGGGGCAGGGCAGGGCAGGGCAGGCACAGCGTAGAAGTGATTTAACAGCCAGAGTCGTGTCAGTGCACACTGGTGTTTGGGAACAGAGCAGGACTCAGGATGCAAGACCCTAGCGATCCCCAAGGTAAGCCGGGACAGTGCTGTGAAGGGCCCGGGCCGATCCTGTGTCAGACAGAGGCTGCAGAGTGCAGATCTGGGCATCCAAAGAAGGGCTGGGGCTGTGCGGGCAGCCTCCTGCCCTGCAGATTGGGGAGGACTTCGTGTCGTTTGGGAAATGGGATCAAATGGTGCAGCGGGGAGCAGCAGCTCACGCCGGTGACCTCAGCTATTTAGGAGGCCAAGGCGGGAGGATCACTTGAGCCCAGGATTCTGAAACCAGCCTGGCCAACAGAGTGAGACCCGTCTCTACCAAAAATGCAAAAATTACTCAGTGGTGGTGGTGCACACCCGTGGTTCCAGCTACTCCAGAGACTGAGGCCGGGGATTGCTTGAGCCCAGGAGGTGGAGGCTGCCTTGACCCGTGGTCACGTCACTGCACTCCAGCCTGGGTGACAGAGCAAGATCCCCTCTCCAGGAAAAAGACTGAAGGAAAGAAATTAAATCGTGCGACTGAGTGGAGCAGAGGACGGGCCCGTGGTGGTGGTCTGCGGGTGTCAGGGTCCCTAGAGCCCTTGGGTCTGCAGTTGGGGAGGGCTGAGCAGGCCGGAGGCAGCCCCGTCTGCACCCGGGTGAGGCGCCCAGGCTGCCTGCCTTCCCCTCTGTGGGGTCCCGAAAAATACAGGGGCTGTTATCACGCCCATTGCCAAGATGTGGACCCTGAGGCCCAGAGAGGTGCAAGGTCTGGTGAATGCCAGGCTGCTATCCCAGCGCTGCCCCAGCCAGACAGCCTGGGCTCCTCGCCTGGCGCAGGGGACCGGGTTTCTGGGGTGGCTGGGGGCTGCCAGGGAGCCTCTCTGACCCTGTTTCCCTCCCGCTCCCAGGACCTTCCCCGGACCCTCCAAAGAGACAGCGGCAGGAGCGCACGGTCTACACTCGCAGCCAGCAGGAAGAGCTAGAAGCTCACTTTCTGGAAAATCAGTACCCGACCTTTGATGAGCGACAGGAGCTGGCTCAGAAACTCAACCTTGGGGAGCACCAAGTGCAGGTCTGACCCCAGTCCCACCCTGCCCCGCCCCAGTCACCCCACGAAGCCTCCCCACCGCTGTCACCGGGGCCTGGCACTCCCGGCCACCTCCCGCCAGGATAGACCAGGGCTGCACCCCAAAACCGGCTCCAACTCTGCGGGCCCAAACCCGCCCACGTGATCGGCCCAGGCTGTGCCCCACGGAGTCTCCCGGTGCCCAGACCTCAGGCCCCCTGAGAACCCCCAGGGTCCCTCCCCTCGAACCCTCCCTGGCCCCCGGGCTCCTGGGCGGCAGGCCCGCTCCTCCTCCACCCCACCGGCCTCTTACTCCTTTTCCCTCCCTCTCCCCTCCCTTCTCGTGGCCCTCCTATGGTGGGGAGCGGGGTGGAGGGGGTGACCACAGGGTGAGGCTTGAGGCCGGCCAGCCCCCCCAGCGGCTCCCCTTCACACTTCCTCCCTGTCCCCTCTCCCCCTAGGTGTGGTTCAAGAATCGGCGCGCCAAACTAGCCCGGGAGCAGCGGCTCAAGAAGCAGCCCCAGAGCGGCCCAGGGCGGAGAGGCCGCGGAGCACGCGCTTCGCCCCCAGTCCCTGCAGCCGCTGCCTCCGCCCCTGGAGGTCCTGAGTTCCCGCAGGGCTGGGATTCCTGGATGTCCCCTCAGCCGGGCCCCTCGGGAATCCTCCCAGCAGCAAAACCCACGACCTACAGCCTCCACCAGGCCTGGGGTGGTCCTGAGCATGGTGCACAGGGTGGCTTCCCGGCTGCCCCGGTTCCAGGCCCCGGCCCGATCCCAGCCCCACTCCGTGGCCCAATCTCAGCCCCAGCTCAGATCCCAGGCTGGATCCCGGGTCCCATCCCAGGCCCAGCCCAGTTCCCAGGTCCAATCCTAGCCCCAACTCCAGGCCCAATCTCAGCCCCAGCTCAGATCCCAGCCTGGATGCCAGGCCACAGCCCAGACCCAGCCCAGATCCCAGGCCCAGGTCCCATCTTAAACTCTGGCCAAATGCCAAGCCTAGGCCCACTCCCAGGCCCAATCCCAGGCCCAGGATCACTCCCAGCCCCAATCCCAGGCCCAGGATCACTCCCAGCCCCAATCCCAGGCCCAGGATCACTCCCAGCCCCAGGATCACTCCCAGCCCCAGGATCACTCCCAGCCCCAATCCCAGGCCCAGGATCACTCCCAGGCCCAGGATCACTCCCAGCCCCAGGCCCTGTGTGGCCTCAGAGCCCCTAGACCTCCAACTTCTCCCCAGACACTCCATTATTGCCTGACTTCATGGAGCTGCTCACACCTCTAGACCCCTTGGAGGGATCCTCAGTCTCCACCACGACATCTCAGTACCAAGAAGGGGATGACTCTATGAACAGAGAAGGCTCAGGGTCTCAGCATCAAGAGGATGGCTCTGTGAAAGAAAACTACTCAGGCCCCAGGTCATTACTGGATGTATGGGGGCCTGTGTCTGCAAAGTCCTGCAGATCTCAGTGGGCCTGGAGTGGCTGGTCTACACTGCTGGTGACCTTCTGCATGAATGCACCATGCTTTACCCACCTGGCTGCAGGTAGACATTTGCTGTCGTCACTGTGTGGCCATCATAGGAGCCTCTGCTACAAAGGTGCCTGCTTCTCATTTGAATTGAGCCTGAGCTTGTTTCTGGGGGATTGAGTAGTCACTGGTCACTGGGATATTTGGCATTAGTGAATGTTGCTTAAGAGCTTTTATTTATAAAGGGCTTTTCCCATTGCTTCTGATGGTCAGCATCTTCCCCAACTCTTAGGATTGTGAGACTTTTTAATGTTTGTCAATTCAATGACTTGTGGTTTTGTTTTGGTTTTAATATCCATTTCCCTGATGACTGAGAGGTTTAGAAATTCTCAGATGTTAATTGAATCTTAGATATCCTCATAATGTGTCTATTTGTTTACCCATTGTTCATTTATATGAATGAATTATTATATTCTCTTGGTAATTAAAGGGCTGTAGATGCCTTTCCTATTTGTACTTTGTTTCATTAGTAGCATTTCTTGATTTTAATGTTATCTATTTCACCACTTTTCAGATTACCTGTTGTTATGAACCAGTTTTGTCTTTTTTATTTTCCATTTCTATCAGCAGCAGATTGATCACATAAAACACAATGAAGTTATTAATAAAAATTAAAATGGGCCAGGCATGGTGGCTCATGCCTGTAATCCCAACACCTTGGGAGGCCAAGCCGGGGGGAGGCCAAGCCAGGTGGATCACTTGAAGTCAGGAGTTCGAGACCAGCCTGGCCAACATGGTGAAATCCCATCTCTTACTTAAAAAAATACAAAAATTAGGCTGGGCACAGTGGCTCATGCCTGTAATCCCAGCACTTTGGGAGACTGAGGCAGGCTGATCACAAGGTCAGGAGATCCAGACCATCCTAGCTAACATGGTGAAAACTATCTCTACTAAAAATAGAAATTAACAAAATAGCCGGGCGTGGTGTCATACACCTATAGTCCCAGCTACTCAGGAGATTGAGGCAAGAGAATTGCTTGGACCCAGGAGTCAGAGGTTGCAATAAGCCGAGACTGCACCACTGCACTCCAGCCTGGCAACAAAGTGAGACTACATCTCAAAAAATATGTATACTATATACAAAAATTACCCAGGCATGCTGGCAGGCGACCAGAATCCCAGCTACTCGGGAGACTAAGGCAGGATAATCACTTAAACCTGATGTTGCAGTGAGCTGAGATGCTGCCACCACACTCCAGCCTGTACTACAGAATGAGACCTTGTCTAAAAAATATAAAATGATAAAATAATAAATTACTTTTACAAGATATCTCAATATATCTCTATTTTCAAATTGACAGAAAAGCTTCTAAAAGTTGGTGTTTCTAAAAGGCCTCTGGTCCTAATTGTTACTAATTAGAGACAAAGCCCACCGGTGGCACCAGTCTGAAGTGTTTGGCTTACTGCTTTTAAGATTGCTCCATTTTCTCACTTTTCCCTTCTAAGAGTAATGCCTTTTTTTTTTTTTTTTTTTCTTTTTTGGCTTGCTTAAAATATCTTTCTCCAATATCAAGTACTCAACAGGAAAATAAGAAATCTTTCATTATCACATGATGATGAAGGTATTCTGTTTTGTTCTCTAAATGTTTATAGTTTTACCTTTCATATTTAGGTCTTTCATACATCTAGAATTGATGGTGTATGGTGTGAGGTAAGGATTTTTCTTTTCCCGTGGATTTCCAATTGTCAATTTATTGAGAACCTTGTAATTTATTTTGTATTTTGTCACAAATCAAGGGTCCATTAATGTCTGAGTCTGTATCTACAAAGTCTTTCTGTTTGTTTGATTTTTGTTGTTGTTTCTTAGATAGTCTCACTCTGTCACCCAGGCTGGAGTGCAATGGCACCATCTCAGCCCACTGCAGCCTCTGCCTCCCAGGTTCAAGTAATTCTCCTGCCTCAGCCTCCTGAGTAGCTGGGATTACAGGCGTGCGCCACCAGGCCCAGCTAATTTTTGTTGTTGTTGTTGTTGTTTTGTTTTGTTTGCAGCCACGTTTAAGCTAAATTTTTTTGTATTTTGAGACCATCCTGACCAACATAGTGAAACCCCATCTCTACTAAAAATACAAAAATTAGCTGGGCGTGGTGGCACACACCTGTAGTCCCAGCTAATTTGGGAGTCTGAGGCAGGAGAATTGCTTGAACCTGGGAGTGGAGGTTGCATTGAGCTGAGATGGCGCCACTACACTCCAGCTGGCGACAGAACAAGACTCTGTCTCAAAAAAAAAAAAAAAGGCTGGGCACGGTGGCTCACGACTATAATCCCAGCACTTTGGGAGGCTGAGGCGAGTGGATCACGAGGTCAAGAGATCGAGACCCTCCTTGGTCAACAAGATGAACCCCGTCTCCACTAAAAATACAAAAATTAGCTGGGCATGGTGGTGCGCGCCTGTAGTCCCAGCTACTCGGGAGACTGAGGCAGGAGAATTGCCTGAACCCAGAAGGCGGAGTTTGCAGTGAGCCGAGATCGCGCCATTGCACTCCAGCCTGGGTAACAACAGTGAAACTCCGTCTCAAAACAAACAAAAAAAAGAACAAAAATGGGAGAGACAGGGCTTTGTCATGTTGACTATGTAGGTCTTGAACTCCAGGCTTCATTGATTCGCAGCCTCAGCCTCCCAAAGTGCTGAGACCACAGGCATGACCCACCACACCTGGCTTGCTTTTTTTTTTCCTTTTTTTTTTTTTTTTTTTTTTTCTTTTTTTTTTTGACAGGGTTTCACTCTGTTGCCCAGGCTGGCGTACAGTGGCACAATCACAGCTCACAGCAACTTCAACCTCCGAGGTTCGAGTGATCCTCCCCCAACTCTGCCTGCTGAGTAGCTGGGACCACAGGCACACACCACCATGCCTGGCTAATTTCTTTTTACTTTTTGCAGAAACAAGGGCTCACCATGTTGCCCAGGCTGGTCTTGAATTGCTGGGTTCAAGTGATCCTCCCGCCTTGGCCTCCCAAAGTGCTGGAATTACAGGTGTGAGCCACCACGACTGGCTCTACAGAAAGTCTCTACTGAGCTCTTGGTCTCTGTGTCCTTGCACAATTGCATGCCACCCCTTCCCTCCGTCCTCTCCTCTCCTGCTTCCTCTGCCATCACTTTGCGGCCCCTGTGTCTTCCCGCAGCTAGTTCTCTGACCCTGTCCTGGTCTCATTTAGCAAATGCTTCAATCCTCTTAGGTCAGGCCAGCCTCAGCAAAACACAGGGAGCATTAGTGCGGATTTGGGGGAAACATGTGACAGGCTGCATTTGGAGGTGGGGACAGACGGCCAAAATATAATGAAAAACCTTCCTGCTTCTCAGAGAGACCCAGAGAGGGATGTACACAGAAAACCACACTGAGGCTCCCGAGGGAAGCACAGCGACTGGAACAGGGAGAGATGGGTGGTGGGTCCAGGGAGAGACGAGAATGAGGTGCAAAGAAAAGGGGAAACTGAGGCATGGGAGTTTCTTGCCCTCAAAACCAGAATAGGCAGGGTCTCCCTAGCATGTGTCACTTCCCATGTGACAGCAGCTGTCCTATGTGCTCTAATACCCTTACAAAAGGTCCTTTGAGGCTGGCAGCCTGTAATCCCTTTGCCTTCGGGGGTTTATGCCAACCATCAGGGTGTTTAAGTGCCTTTCTGAGTAGACTGAAAATATTCAGTCTGAGCGTGGACCAGGCCTCCCAGCTGAAGAGCGCTGCCCTGAACCCCTCCACTCTTTCAAGTGATACCAAGCTCATCTGTTTCTTGGACTGCCTGGAGGACGACCTGTGGGCATCTGGATGTCCACGAGACTTTGGGTAACAACTACACCTTCTCCACACGTGCAGGGTGTGAGCAATATTGGGTTAGGCCATTTACATGCCCAGCACAGAGCCTCGCATACAGGAAGCTCTAAGTAAATGGGTGATCTCATTATTTTGCCATTTACACAACACCCTCCACCCATATCTCTTCCCTCCTCTAACTCACCTCCTACTTCTCTGCCCTGTGCAGACCCATGCTCCCCCTTCCCTCTCCCTCCCTAGTCTCTCCCTCCCTCCCAGTCCCTGCGCTTCTCCCTAGCAGGTTTCCCTGGCCTTGACCTAATCTAACTCACCACCTGCCCCAATCCTCTTAGAGCCAGGTGAGGCGGCATCTGCAGAATCTCAGCCAGGTCAGGGAAGAGTTGAAGGGGACGTGGGACATATTGGTGGATGATGTCAAAACCCTTTGCAAGCTTGTGCTGGCACCTTCTCATGCCTCCTCGATGGCTGTGAGACTTCAGTTACAGCAGCAGGTGCTGCCAGGGTCTCCTGGAGTCCTTCCCCTGCATAAGCCCCAGGGAGACCCTTCAGGAAGACGAAAGGGAGCTGCAGAACTGGCCAGTGAGTGGAAGCACATGCTGTCGATGTTCACAGACGCGCCTGATTGTCTCTGCATATTTGATGAAAAATGTAAACCCTCCCACCACTTTTTTGTTCTTTTTTTTTTTTTTTTTTTTGAGACGAGTGTTGGCTCTGTCGCCAGGCTGGAGTGCAGTGGTGCCATCTCAGCTCACTGCAACCTCCGCCTCCTGGGTTCAAGCGATTCTCCTGCCTCAGCCTCCTGAGTGGCTGGGATTACAGGTGCCTGCCACCACGCCCAGCTAATTTTTTTATTTTTAGTAGAGACGGGGTTTCACCATGTTGGCCAGGATGGTCTCGATCTCTTGACCTGGTGATCCACCTGCCTCAGCCTCCCACAGTGCTGGGATTACAGGCGTGAGCCACCGCGCCCGGCCTTGTTCTGTCTTTTGGCTCCAGTCAGCTCCAGGAAAGGGGACGGAATGGAAATTTATTTTTAGTTGGGTATTCATTCACTTTTTTTTTTTTTTTTTTTTTTTTTGAGACTCTGTTGCCCAGGCTGGAGTGCAGTGGCATAATTTTGGCTCACTGTGACCTCCACCTCCTGAGTTCAAGCAATTCTCGTCCCTCAGCTTCCAAAGTAGCTGGGATTACAGGCACCCACCATCACACCCAACTAATTTTTTGTTTTTTTAGTAGAGACAGGATTTCACCACGCTGGCCAGGCTGGTCTCGAACTCCTGACCTCAAGTGATTCACCTGACTTGGTCTCCCAAAGTGCTGGGATTACAGATGTGAATCACCACGCCCGGCCTGTTCACTTCTGTATACTTAGAATTTCTTGCCATAGAAGAGTTTCTATTTTATCATTACAGAACTGTATCTTGGATAAAGTACAGCGGTAACTCTTTTTTTTTTTTTTAGATGGTTTCGCTCTTGTTACCCAGGCTGGAGTGCAATGGCGTGATCTCGGCTCACCGCAACCTCCGCCTTCTGGGTTCAGGCAATTCTGCCTCAGCCTCCCGAGTAGCTGGGATTACAGGCGCATACCACCATGCCCAGCTAATTTTTGTATTTTTAGTAGAGACGGGGTTTCACCTCATTGACCAGGATGGTCTCGATCTCTTGACCTCGTGATCTTTTGAGACAGAGTCTTGCTCTGCAGCCCAGGCTGGAGTGCAGTGGCTCAATCCCGGCTCACTGCAACTCCACCTCCCAGGTTCAAACAATTCTTCTGCCTCAGCCTCCCAAGTAGCTGGGACTACAGGCACCAGCCACCACGCCCGGCTAATTTTTGTATTTTTAGTAGAGATGGGGTTTCACCATGTTGGCCAGGCTGGTCTTGAACTACTGACCTCGTGATCCGCCAACTTCAGCCTCCCAAAGTGCTGAGATTACAGGCATGAGCCACCACGCCTGGCTGTAAAGCGGTAACTCTTGTAGCTGACATAAGAAAATATCTACAGAATAAATACACACCACACACACACACACACACACACACACACACACTCCTGGGATTAATAAATGAATTTTCCCAGGTTCCAGGATCCAAAATCAGTAAACAAAAACCAATTGTATATCTTGGTGCTGTGCGGAACATTTTATTTAAAAAAAAAAAAAAAAAGAAACAAATTGTACTTCTATATAATAGCAACAAAAAACTGGAAAATAAAAGTTTTTTAAAACGCTATTTACAAAAGCATTAAAAAACATGAAATAGGCTGACTGTGGTGGCTCATTCCTATAATCCCAGCACTTTGGGAAGTCGAGGCAGGAGGATCACTTGAGACCAAGAATTCAAGACCAGCCTGTACAGCACAGCGAGACCCCATCTACACACACAAAACAAACTCTAGCTGGACATGGTGGTGCACAGCTGTAGTCTCAGCTACTTGGGAGACTGAGGTGGGATAACTGCTTGAACCCGAGAGGCAGAGATTGCAGTGAACCAAAATTGAATCCCTGATTCCAGCCTGGGCGACAGAGCAAGACTCCATCTAAAAACAAAAATGCAAAAGGCCAGTAAGCCCATGACATCAAAAATCATCAGGGAAATGCATAATAAAACCAAAATGAAAGCCTGTAATCCCAGCCCTTTGGGAGGCTGAGGCAGGTGGACTACTTGAGGCCAGCCTGAGAAACGTAATGAGACCCCTATCTCTTCCAAAAAAATATTAAAGTTAACTGAGCATGATGGTGCACACTTGTAATCCCAGCTACTTAGGAGACTAAGGTGGGAGGATGACTTGAGCCCAGGAGGTCAGGGATACAGTGAGCCATGATCACTATACCGCAGCCTGGGGACAAATTCTAACAGACATGGCTGGGCAAGGTGGCTCACACCTGTCACCTCAGCACTTTGGGAGGCCAAGGCAGACAGATCACCTGAAGTCAGGAGTTCGAGACCAGCCTGGCCAACATGGTGAAACCCCATCTCTACTAAAAAATACAAAAAGATTACCTGGGCATGGTGGTGCACACCTGTAATCCCAGCTACTCGGGAGGCTGAGGTAGGAGAATCGCTTGAACCTGGGAGGTGGAAGTTGCAGTGAGCAGAGATGAGATCGCACCACTGCACTCCAGCCTAGGAGACAGAGTGAGACTCCATCTCAAAATAAATGAATAATAGGGGAAACAATTGTGGGAGGGGGGGTACATAGGAACTCTCTGTACCACTTTATCATTTTCTGTAAATCTAAAGCCATTCTTTAAAGTATACTTTTTAAATAATTAAAGTGATTAACCAGAGGCTTAAAAAGTTAGATGGGAGAATTTCTTCTTTTTTTCAAGACAGAGTCTCGCTCTGCCACCCAGGCTGGAGCGCAGTGGCGCGATCTTGGCTCACTGCAACCTCCGCCCTCCAACCTCAAGCAATCCTCCCACCTCAGCCTCCCAAGTAGCTGAGACCACAGACACGTGCCATCATGCCCAGCTGTTTGTATTTTTGGTAGAGACGGGGTTTTGCTATGTTGCCCAGGCTGGTCTCAAACTCCCGGGCTCAAGTGGTCTTTCTGCCTCAGCCTCCCAAAATGTTGGGACTATAGGCATGAGCCGCTGTGGCAGGCCATTTATTTTTCTTTACGCCCTTAGTACCCTGGGTTAATTATAGGGGAAACAGGCCGGGCATGGTGGCTCACGCTTGTAATCCCAGCACTTTGGCAAGCCTAGTGTCCTGGGCTATTTCCAAATCCTATACACGTAAAAGTGCAACAAGTAGAAGCACTTTTAGAGAAATAAAAGATTTTTATTACCCTCAAAAAATACGTGTATATATGTGTCTCTGTGTGTGTAATAGGTTTACAAGGAGTCACTGAGTTCTTTTTTTCTGAGACAGAGTCTTGCTCTGTCACCCAGGCTGGAGAGCAGTGGCACCATCTTGGCTCACTGCAACCTCCACCTCTCAGGTTCAAGTGATTCTCCTGCCTCAGCTTCCCAAGTAGCTGGGATTACAGGCACACGCCACCACGCCTGGCTAATTGTTGCATTGTTTTGTAGAGACGGGGTTTCACCATGTTGGACTTGAACCTTTCACCTCAGCCTCCCAAAGTGCTGGGATTACCGGTGTGAGCCACCTCGCCTGGCCTACGTGCTCTTCACTTATTTTTTGTTTGTTTGGTCAGGGTCTTGCTCTGTCACCCAGGCTGAAGTGCAATGATGTGATCTCAGCTCACTGCAACCTCCTGGGCTCAAGGGATCCTCTCACCTCAGCCTCTCGAGTGGCTGGGACCACAGGCATGTGCCACCACGCCCGGCTAATTTTTTGTATTTTTGGTAGAAACTGGGTTTTGCCACGTTGCCCAGGCTGGTCTCGAACTCCTGACCTCCAGAGACCCTCCCACCTCTGTAAAGTGGCACTTTACAATCTCCCACTGTAAAGTGTCAAGATTACAGGCGTGAATCACTGCGCCCAGCCTCATTTTCTCAATATGTATCCAGTGACTATGTAAGTACTGTTAACCCACTCAGGTGGGGTGGGACGACTGTCCTCTCTATACCATCCCCTCCTGGTTCACACCCCCCTTCCCAACCCCCCTACCCTTCTCACCTTTGTCACATGGAAGCACCCCTACCTCCTCCTTCTGCCACTCTGCCTCTCCTCTGCTGCCCCCTGGTGGCAATCCTGGCCCCTGGTTCTCCCCAGTGCTGTTCCTGGCCCCCTTTAGCAAGTGTCCAATCCTCTTAAACCAGGCCAGCCTCAGCAGAGCACAGAGAGAATTAAATCCGATTTGGAGGCAGGAGACACCCGACAGGCTACTGGGGGAGGGGGCGAGGACAGACAGCTTTTTTTTTTTTTTTTTTTTTTGAGATGGCGTTTCACTCTTGTTTCCCAGGCTGGAGTGCAATGGCACAATCTCAGCTGCTACCTCTGCCTTCCAGGTTCAAGCGATTCTCCTGCCTCAGCCTCCCGAGTAGCTGGGACTACAGGCAAGCACTACCAGCTAATTTTATATTTTTAGTAGAGACGAGGTTTTTCCATGTTGGTCATGTTGGTCAGGCTGGTCTCGACCTCCCAACCTCAGGTGATCCGCCCACCTCAGCCTCCCAAAGTGCTGGGATTATAGGTGTGAGCCACGGTGCCTGGCCCTAGACAACGTGTTTTAAAACAAAAGCCCCTCCTGCTTTTTTTTTTTTTTTTTTTTTTTTTTTTTTCTGTCACCCAGGCTGGAGTGCAGTGGTGCCATCTCAGCTCACTGCAACCTCTGCCTCCCGGGTTCACAAAATTCTCCTGCCTCAGCCTCCCGAGTAGCTGGGATTACAGGCACCCACCACCACACTGGCTAAATTTTTTGTCTTTTTAGTAGAGACAGGGTTTCACCATGTTGGCCAAGCTGGGCTTGAACTCCTGACCTCAGGTGATCCACTACCTCGGCCTTTCAAAGTGCTGGGATTACAGGCGTGAGCCACAGAGTCCAGCCTTCTCCTGCTTTTGACAGACTGGGAGAGAGACAGACACAGAACCCACAGAGTGACAGACGGGGGGATCGAGAGAGAGGCACATGGGTTAGAGTGAGCCCCCACCCAAAGAGGGCTGGCAGACTCTGCCCTCTTCACCACTAAGGGATCAGAGGTTTTGTTATGTCTCATCTAGATTTCTAGGCACACAGTTTATTGTATTGAAATATCATTTTCCTCTGAAAGGAACTCGAGGTCCTTGACATAAATGCTGACTCCAGGTCTGGGCAGGAAATAAGATATGCCTGGAACACTTCATCAAGCCTGAAAATAGGATTTTCAGAGATGGCAGAGATTATGTCCGTGGAACTCAGGCACAATTTGGGAGGCCTAGGTGGGTGGATCATCAGGTCAGAGATCGAGACCATCCTGGCCAACATGGTGAAACGCTGTCTCTACTAAAAATACAAAATTTAGGTGGGCGTGGTGCATGCCTGTAGTCCCAACTACTAGGGAAGCTGAGGCAGGAGAATCGCTTGAAGCCAGGAGGCGGAAGTTGCAGTGAGCTGAGATGGCACCACTGCACTCCAGCCTGGGCGACAGAGCAAAACTATGTCTAAAAAATGAGAGAGTTTATTTGGATTATTTGTAACAAAAGTTAAATGCTTGAGGAGATAAATACCTCATTTACTCTGATGTGATTATTATGCATTGTATGTCTGTATCGAAATAGCCCATGTGCCCCATAAATATATACACCTACTATGTACCCAGAAACTTTTTAATTTTGAGTAGAAGCCTCACTCTGTCACTCAGGCTGGAGTGTAATGGCTCAATCTCAGCTCACTGCAACCTCTGCCTCCGGGTTCAAGTGATTCTCCTGCCTCAGCCTCCTGAGCAGATGGGACAACAGGCGCGTGCCACCGTGCCCTGCTAATTTTTGTATTTTTAGTAAAGACGGAGTTTCGGTTGGAGACTCCGGGACGTCGGTAGTTTCCTGGGCCGGGTTCTGCGGCCTTGCTTCTGTTTACTTTTCCACTCCAGGCCACTATGCCGCAGTACCAGACCTGGGAGGAGTTCAGCCGCGCTGCGGAGAAGCTTTACCTCGCTGACCCTATGAAGATTTAAACTACCTTTTAATATAAGGGATTTGTAGTATCAGCTTGTTGAGCAATGACTTCGAATCTAGTTTTCAGAAGCAGCAGTTATTTGAGTGCATGAATGGAATGATGATCACTATAATGTACTGAAACCACCATATTACAGAAATATTTGCTACTTATTTTCCATCTGTAGTTTCTCAGAAGGGCTATAGATTATTTGAACTGTCAAATCCTTGCATACTTCTGTGACACCCCTGCCCATTTTCACTCTCTATTTAACCAAGGTGTTAGATGTGACTGTCACAACTGTTATGTTTCCCAGTAAACCAGAAGTATGATATTATTTGATACTTACATTTGTATCCTAAATTTCACCACCTAAATGTAATGTTCACATGTTGATTCCTCAAGAATGAAGTGAAGGTACTACATTGAAATATGTTTTGTAGAAATTTGTCATGTTGAGCAACATTTTAGCATGGTAAGTTCCCTTAGCTATATGAATTTTGGCATGTTTCAGAGAGATGAGCAAATAAAATGTTACATAAATATGTAAAAAAAAAAAAAAAAAAAAAGACGGAGTTTCGCCATGTTGGCCAGGCTGGTCTCGAACTCCTGACCTCATGATCACCCACCTCGCCTTCCCAAAGTACTGGGATTACAGGCGTGAGCCACCTTGCCCGGCCAAATTTTAATTTTTAACTTTTTAAAAAGAAAGTGTCATGTCACCCAGCCAAAGATGGTGATTCACTTGACTACTCTGGTGACCCACAGGGATTCCGCAGGGTCTTCCACGGTGATCCGAGGTGAACTGAGAAGATGCAGTTCTCAGACACGGCCACACGCTGTCGCCGTTAGACAGGAATTCACGGTGTCTCCCCCGTTAGGCTGGTGATGTGCAGGCTGAATTCTTGGAAGGTGTGAATGGTCTCGACTAAGCCAAAGTCAGATGGTGGCGTTTTCATGCATATGGTACAATTAAAACAAGAGCTCTGGTACATACTTGCAGTGCTCACCAAGTTTTCAAGTTCTCATCCCCTTCCTTTTTTTTCAGACGGAGTCTCAGTCGCCCAGGCTGGAGTGCAGTGGCGTGATCTCGGCTCACAGCAACCTCCCCCTCCCCTTCCCAGGTTCAAGCGATTCTCCTGTCTCAACCTCCCAAGTAGCTGGGATTACAGGAGCCTGCCACCACACTCGGCTAATATGTTCGTAGTTTTTTAGCAGAGACGGGTTTTCACCATCTTCACTAGGCTGGTCTTGAACTTCTGACCTCGTGATCCACTCACCTCGGCCTCCCAAAGAGGGCTGAGCCACCGCATCCGGCTTCTCATTCCCTTCCTAAACATAGTCTAAATTCCCTAGCCAGGTTCCACAGGTGGGCTCGGGTTTTGTGGGCGGAGTTCTGAAAGTGGGCGGGACTGTGTAACTGGTTCTGGCCAATGGGCTGTGACGAAAGCTGATGCGTCACTTCCTGGCTGACGCCTTTACCGGCCAATGCCTGCTCTGAAGGCCAAGGCGAGTAAGATCGCTTGAGACCAGATTCAAGACCTACCTGAGCGAGATAGCGAGGACTCCCACCCTGCCCCATCCCGCCCAGTTCCCCTCCAAAATGAAAAATAAATTAGCTGCGAGTGGGGGTGCGCTTGTAGTACCGGCTACTCAGAAGGCTGAGGTGGGAGGACCACTCAAGCCCAGGAGGAGTTCGAGGCTGCAGTGAACCGTGCTCATGCCACTGCACTCCACCCTGGGTGACAGAGCCATACCTTAGTCTCTTTAAAAAAAGAAAAGCAGGCTGGGAGCGGTGGCTCACGTCTGTAATCCCAGAGCTGTGGGGGCCGAGGCGGGCGGGTCACGAGGTAGGAGATTGAGACCATCCTGACACAGTGAAACCCTGTCTCTACTGAAAATACAAAAAATTAGCCAGGCATGATGGCAGGTGCCTGTAATTCCTGCTACTCAGGAGGGTGAGGCAAGAGAATCGCTTGAACCTGGGAGGTGAGGTTGCAGTGAGCTGAGACCGAGCCACTGCACCGCAGCCTGGGTGACAGTAAGTCTCCGTCTCAAAAAAAAAAAAAAAAAGAATGACCCCGTATGAAGCCATCGAGCTCCCAGGCAAGAGGGGCGTCAGAGGGCATGACTCCCCCAGCACCTTGATCTTGGATTTCTGGCCTCCAGAACTGTGAGAAAAATATCTAGGGCCAGGCGCAGGTGGCCCACACCTGCAATCCCAACACTTCAGGTGACAGAGGCAGGAGAATCATTTGAGCTCAGGAGTTCAAGACCAGCCTGGGCAACATAGTGAGACCTCATCTCTACAAAAAAAAAAGGCAGGTGGGGGAGCAGTAGCTCAAGCCTAAGTATTCCCAGCAGTTTGGGAGGCCAAGGCAGGTGGATCCCTGAGGTCAAGAGCTCGTTATCAGCCTGGCCAACATGGTGAAACCCTGTCTCTATTAAAAATACAAAAATTAGCTGGGTGTGGTGGCGCGTGCCTGTAATCTCAGGTACTTGGGAGGCTGGGGAAGGAGAATCACTTGAACCTGGGAGGCGAAGGTTACAGTGACCCGAGATGGCACCACTGCATTCCAGTCTGGGCAACAGAGCACAATTTCCTCAATAAAAAAGAAAAAGAAAAATCAGCTGGGCATGGTAGTACTCCCGTGTGGTCCCAGGTATCAGGAGGCTGAGACAGGAGAATCACTTACACCCGGGAGATGGAGGCTGCAGTGAGCTGGGATCACACCACTGCCCTCCAGAGCAAAATTCTCTCAAAAAATCATAACCTCAGTATTTCTGCAAAGTGCTTCCTTATGAGCAGAGGGCTGGTGCACTGAGCACTCAGCACGTGGTCAATAATCTGGGATGGGGGCCTGGAGGGAGGCAGCCCAGGGGTAAAACAGGATACGCTCCTCACACGCACATTCGGTTAAACTCGTCCAATATTTATTGAATTGTGAACAGCTGACTTTGCCACAATCAGACACCCATCCTGATGCCTCTCTTGGCTTCCCCTAGAGAAGGATGCCTGAGGCGGGATGTTCCCCAAATTCTGGGGGACAACAGGGGAAACATGGGGTATGCACAGATATCTGATAAAATCGGGGGATGGGAGGAGGGTGGGGCAGTGTGGAGCCCGGGAAGACACACACACACAGAGGCAGAGATCAAGGGCATCAATCTCTGCCCCCAAGAGCAGCCACGAGAGCATCGGGGAAGGACCAGGCGTCCACGAGGCATTTCACTCCTTCCCGTCATGAAGCGTCTGCTGAGAGGGGCTGGATTAAGGTCCCTGGACTGTGGAGAGAAAAAAAAAGGTGGCTGGGGGAGGGAGTCAGTTTGCAGGAACAGAGGCCAAGCTTGGGGCCCCCGTCACAAGGAAGAAAGATAAATAAGCCGGGCGCAGTGACTCTTGCCTGTAATCCCAGCACTTTGCAAGGCTGAGGCAGGCGATCACTTGAGCCCAGAAGTTCGAGACCAGTCTGGGTAACATGGCAAAAAAAAAAAAACATCTCTACACAAACTGCAAAAATTAGCTGGGCATGGTGGTGCACACCTGTAGTCCCAGCTACTTGGGAGGCTGAAGTGGGAGAGTCACTCGAGCCTAGGAGGTCAAGGCTGCAGTGAGCTCTGATTGCACCACTTAACTCTAGCCTGGATGACAGAGGGAGACCCTGTCTCTCAAAAAAAAAAAATAAAACCTCACAAAACAAAACGTCAGGCGCAGTGGCTCACACCTGTAATCCCAGCACTTTGGGAGGCCGAGGTGGGTGGATCGCCTGAGGTGAGAAGTTTGAAACCAGCCTGGCCAACATAGTGAAACCCTGTCTCTACTAAAAATACAAAAAATTAGCCAGGAATGGTGGCAGGCGCCTGTAATCCCAGCTACTTGCAAGGCTGAGGCAGGAGAATTGTTTGAACCCAGGAGGCAGAGGTTGCAGTGAGCTGAGATCGCGCCATTGCACTCCAGCCTGGGTAACAAGAACGAAACTCCAACTCAAAACAACAAAAAAATAAACACAATAAGGATAAGGAAGGGTCGGAGGAAAATTAAGATGCAGAGAAAAACTGAGGCACAAGGAAATGAAACACCCAGGAGGGAAAGAAATTGTAACTCCACAAAGTGAGTTTGGCTAAAACCTAGTTCTCAGTTTTCTGCGGTGAGGAATTCTGATGAGGAAACTGAGGCAGGTGTGATGGTGCTGAGGGGCAGCCAGCCACGGACCTCACAGAAAGCCTTGCTAGCCACCCCCGCACATAGTCAAATCTGGTTTCCAGAGACCTATTAAACAATAGACATTGTTTTCTTTTTTTTTTTGAGGCGGAGTCTCGCTCTGTGCCCAGGTTGGAGTGCAGTGGCCCCATCTCGGCTCACTATAATCTCTACCTCCCAGGTTCAATCGATTCTCCTGCCTCAGCCTCCCAAGTAGTAGCTGGGATTACAGGTGCCCGCCACCATGCCCGGCTAATTTTTTATGTTTTTGGCAGAGATGGGGTTTCACCGTGTTAGCCAGGATGGTCTCCATCTCCTGACCTCGTGATCTGCCTGTCTCAGCCTACCAAAGTGCTGGGATTACAGGCGTGAGCCACCTTGCCCGGCCAACAGACACTGTTTTCTTTGATACCCAAGGCAGTCCCCCTGGGTATCAGGCGGTCCCCCCACAGGGACCTCTGTGTTCCTCATCAACTGCCTGGTTTAATCACTGTGCAGGGAGAAGGCTCACCTCGGCCAAAGATCTGCGCCTTGCCCAGCTCCTGGGAGGTCCCCTGTAAGACCTTGCAGTGTCCTGCCTCAGACTGGACCTGGTTGGACCAAGCGCGGTGGCTCACACCTGTAATCCCAGCACTTTGGGAGGCTGAGGCGGGTGGATCACTCGAGTCCAGGAGTTCAAGGCCAGCCTGGCCAACAGAGTAAAACCCCATCTTACAGAAAAACACAGAAATTAGCCAGGTGTGGTGGCACGTGCCTGTGATCCCAGCTACTAGGGAGGCTGAGGCAGGGGAATTTCATGAACCCAGGAGGCAGAGGTT